GCAAAGACACTGCTCCAGTCACTCTGGCGTCAAAAGATAGATTGGGATGCGAATCTCACTGACGGAAACTTGGAAGCTTTCGAGGATTGCATTTCCTCACTCGGGGAGGCGCGCAACGTGTTTGTAAACAGAAATATTCTCTCGTCTCAGCAAGGAATCAAAAGAGAAATACACGCATTTTGCGACGCTTCGATGGAAGCATTCGGAACAGTCGTCTACATCCGAGAACTCTCGAACGCGGGCGGCGCCAAGATTCATTCCGTGGTTTCGAAGGCTAGGGTAGCTCCACTCAAGTCAGAATTCTCAATCCACCGTTTAGAGCTCATCAGCGCGGTACTATCAGCGCGGCTGGTCGACACAGTAAAGTCGCACCTCAATTATCATTTCGATTCAGTCAAATATTGGTCGGACAACTCTCCCACTTTACATTGGATTAGAGACAACCCCAATCGGTGGAAGCCTTTCGTGGCCAACCGCATTAGAGAGATACAGTCTCTCTCGGATCCGGCAGACTGGAATTACGTAACTTCAGCGGAAAATCCAGCGGATCTGCTCAGCAGAGGAACGCCGATAGCGAGCGGTGAAACTAGAGATATGTGGATTCATGGACCCTCTTGGTTGACGGAACCGGGTCATCAGACAGTAGCTCACGCGCTGAACGACTTATTCGAGAAGAAAAATTAGAGGTGGAAAGGGGCAGCTCGAAATGCCTGGCGACTCGGGTTTCGGATTCAGCGGGAGAAGATGTCTTCAAAGGACAGCGATTGTCATCTTGGTCTGTTTTCGTATCCAGTACGGCGAGAGTCCTCAGATGGTTAGCTCTGTCCAGGGAACAGATCCGTCGAGAGGAAATGAGTTCACCCATTTCGCAGGCTACGGCGACTCAGAGATTAATAAAAAATATTCAGAGGCACTCCTTCGGTCAAGAAATCGAGGACAAGTGCAAATCAATCCCGAAGGGAAGTACATAGAATTTACAAGCTAGCGCCCTTCATCGATGAAGATGGCATTCTGAGAGGCCGATCTAGGTTGGAGCGCGCACACGAATTATCATTCGGTGAGAAGTATCCGATATTGCTTCCAGGCGAGAACTACGCGGTTAGGTTGCTGATCAAATTCGTTCACGAGAAGAGATATCTCCACGTAGGTGGCGTCGCCAGCACGTTGAGTCAATTGCGGAAGAATTACTTCATCCTTTCGGCGCGCAGGGCGGTGAAGAGCGTACTCAAAAACTGCAGAGTCTGCACGAGATTTCGCGTCGAGGCGGCTATGGAACCAGTGCCCCCGCTTCCAGAGTTTCGGATCGACACCGCACCAGCGTTCTCAGTTACGGGAGTTGACCATGCGGGTCCGATTCCCTACCGAGATCCCCAGGGCGGGATAGGCAAGAGTTACATCTTATTGTTTGTGTGCCCGGCGACGAGAGCCGTTCACATCGAGCTCGTACCGGATTTATCGGCATTTGAGTTTCTCCTGTCGCTAAAGAAATTTCTCAGTCGTTTCGGCACCACAACAAAAATAATTTCGGACAATGGATTGTCCTTTGTCAGAGCAGCTAAAGAGCTGAAAATAATATATGATCACGTGAAATCTCCGGCTGTCCAGCAGCACTTAGTGAATGCGGAGGTTTCTTGGGAATTCATAACGGCTAGAGCCCCATGGCATGGCGCTTGGTGGGAAAGAATGGTCCAAACGATTAAGAGACCGTTGCGAAAAGTTCTCGGGAGGAACACGCTTTCATTCAGAGAGTTAGAGACAGTTCTTACGGGAATCGAAGCGTTAGTGAATCAGAGACCACTGACATCAGTGCAATTGGATCCTAATGAGGTGAAAGCACTCTGTCCAGCAGATTTAGTCTACGGACACCATTCGAAAATAAGCTTACCAGAAATGCGCTTCAAGCCGAGGAACCGAGAGGCAGCTAAAGCGATCGTGTTTTCTCGTCGGCGTCGGTGGAAATATCAACAGGCGGTCTTGAGGAACTTCCAGAAGCGGTTCAAAGAGGAATACTTACAATATCTTCGTTCCGCGCATACCCGTGATCCAGTCACACCGCGGTCTATAAAGGTCGGCGACGTTTGTCTGCTCAAAGACTCAGCCCCCTCTAGAGGTCATTGGCCGCTGTGTCGCGTTCTGAGCCTTTCGGGGGGAGGGCGCACAGATCTACGGCAACGATCATGCCTAATAAAGATGGAAACGGGTCAGACTTTTAGCAGACCAATCCAATTGCTATACCCGCCGGAGGTTTAGCGAATGAACCACAGAGAGACAGCGGATCGGAGCTCCCGCGGAGCAGATCGCTGCAGAAAGATCACACATCGGTTACGGAAAAAAAATCAATATATTTATCATATATAAAATAATGGCATTGATGCCGGCGCGCTAGGGCATGCGCATCAGAGCCTCATAGGCTTCACGCTGGCGGCGCGCGAAGTCGGATTCGGGGCGCGTGCGGGCCCGTTCCGTCAGCAGCTCGCCGGCGAGCGCTCGGGTGCGTTCGCGCTCCCGCTGGAGCTCCTCCTCCCGCAGCCGATTCTCCTCGCGGAGTCGTGAGATTTCCGCATCCAGTGCGGCCTGGCCTGCGGTGAGGGAGTCGATTTCCCCGGACTGGATCCGGGGAGCTGGGGTGGTCCGGCGCTGGAGGGACGCGATGAGGAGGCGGCGGTTGTGTGCCGCTAGCATGTCGGCGGTCGGGGCGGGCGGAGTACGGTGCTGGACGGCGTCCGCGACGCGGCGGCAGAGTTCGGCACTGGTGGCCGGCGGGACTGCATCCCGGGTTCGGCTTCGCTGGGCACGGTTTTTGGCCTCCACGTACGGGCGGCGCTCCTCGAAGCTCATCCCGTCCCAGACCACACGGGCCGCGGCCCTCACGTCCCCGGTAGAGACACCACGGAAGTCGGCACGCATGCTCACCGATCGTACAAACAGGCCCAGTGGGCTCCGGTCAAAAACGCAGTCAGGCATGTCGTATGCTCGAGAAGACTGCATGACAAGTGACAAGAAATTATTTCGAGAGTAGCGGGTTGACGGGTATGAGAGGATTCGGCGACCAATGAGGAGGCAGGGGTGCGCGTCGCACAGATCGGGTTACGGTCGCTACAATGTGGCCGATCTCCGTTTCAATTCTAAAGCATTCGTCGCGCAGATCCAGTCTCCGAGATCTCAAATTCCTTCCGTCCTCATCCGGATCGATGTGAGGAAATGTACGAATATTGCCGATATCGAATGTCTTAGTCGAGCGTAGAGACCGATTCAGGTTTCCAGTTACAGCCGAAAAGTGTCGAGGTGGCTTCCGGAAGTCGGTAGGAATTTGGCCGGGAGTGTGGCGAATTCCCAAAGGTAGAATAATTCGTGAAGCGGTTATCAATAAATGAGGAACCGAGGAGAGGCCACAGGAGAGAACAGAACGTCGTGCGCCTGCACGTCGAGTTGCCTGTCGCGACGCGGCGGCAGCGGCGGCTCTCGAACACGACTTTTGCTATCGAGCCCTTGCGCAAGTCGAGGTGCACCCGGAGACGCACCAGTAGCAAAACCCGCAACTCCTCAGGGTATCCAGTACCA